CTCTTGCCTTTGATTCTTCCTCAATACGAAGATTTTTTTGTATATCTACCAAAGAAAAATCTTTGGAATTGTGAAGAATCTTCTTCCTATATCCTTTCCATAAATCAGGAAGTTTAGCAATAATTGCTCCTACTTGGAAAGTTTCGGAAAGTTCGATTTTCACTGCTTTCAGTTTGTTTACAATTATTTGTAACTCATGCACTTGAGGCAATAACGGTATATTATCTAAAAATTTGAAATCAAAATACTTAGATATTAAGAACTTTTTGGTATCTTCCTCCTCAGCTTTGTATTTGCTTTCTAGCGCGTACCATATTTCTCTTGCCGATGTAGTATTGGTGTAGAGATCATAGGGGCGATCGAATAATGCATTTAGGATATGGCCATGACATATCAATTCGTCATCTTCCCGTTTCTTCTTTTCTATGCGAATTTCTTTGGTATCCTTGTCAAATGCATCGGGAATGAGCTCCAATTTTGAATCAGGCACATAGAAGATCTTCAAGGCCGTTAATAGAAATTTAAGTTTGTCTTGCCATCTTGTGAAATTTGCACCATCAAATCTGTCCAAGCGTCCCAGGTCTTGATTCATCATTTTGATAGTAGTAAGTATAGATTCTGTCTCTATTGCAATAATAGTAACAAATAACATTTGAGATTGTTGAAAAATAATGGCAATGTAGAAGAAAATTATAAAAATATATCAATGAAGGCTTGAACACGAAATGAATCTCACTGTCCTTAAACGTTATTTGCCTCATTTCCAATGCTTTTAAGGATTTTCGACAAATAGTTTGTGGGATTAAACAAGCCTTGACAAGAAGAACACCAAAAAAGCAAAGGTGTTTCTTCACAATTAACAAGTGAAAATTGAAGGATTATGTGATAAATTTTCTCAATATTGGAAGTACAATTTGGGGATAAATTTCAATGGAACTCAATGAATTTTCTTGCACTTAGATCACTTATTTATAGGCTTTGACAAGTTCCCACGAAATGGTGCAAGAAACAGGTAAAAAGTCACCAAATTTGAATGAAAAAATGGTCAAAAACTAACCCAACGGTTAGTTTTTAATAACCATGTGGTCGCATGGTTATAGCTTCCCCAGCACTCCCATTCTCGGGAGGGCCTCATGCGACCGCATGAGCTTAATCCATGCGGTCGCATGGTTAAGCCTTTTTTTTCGATTTTGAACAACAAATAAATTTCCAACATGAAGATAAGTTGTTGATGTGTTCATTTTTTATTGGTTTGATGATGCAGCTCCTTGTCTTCTCTCGTGCAGCTTGTATGCTCTCCTCCTGCCTATAGAGTTCTATAAATAGGGGAGCTACGTCATTTTGTTATGTGTGTTTTGATCAGTTTTGAGTGTGTGAGAGTTTTGGCTCCTTGCTCTGTGACTATGAGTGCAGAAAAACAATAGTTGTGTTGTGTGTAATTGTTATTAAGTATCATGGCCTTGTAGTGATTCAATAAAGAAGTGTGCCTTTATCCCACTATAAGAGTCAAGATTCTTCACCCCTGATAATGATTTCGTGATTTAATTAGCAAACACAAGTTTTTATTCCTTCTAGAAGCATCAATTCTAACACAAATAGAAATATAAGTTCAATTATCTGTGTCTCTTCTTAATCGTTAGTTGAATAAAACGAGCTCTTTATCCAATCCTTTTTACCAACAACCTAGAAAAAGTTCTCTCAGTTCAATTTTATTAAACCTTTCAATCGAAATAGGCAAGAATTAAATCAAATTCAAACACACGAGCTCAATTTACTAACTTCAGTGAAAACCATGCATAGTAAAATTGAAATGTTTGAAAGGTGTTGAAATACTAAATCTTTATAAACATGCATTATGAAAGAAAATGTTGCGTGCAGGAAATTCTAATTCAGGGATTGAATGATGTTGGGAAATAAAACGGATCGAAGTAATATATATATACACGATATGAAGTACAAAATCATAAACAACAAGATAAAAGGCAAAAAATTAATTGGTAGAAAAAGGATTACTTAATTCAATTCACGAATATGGAGAAAACAAATACAATAACTGTACCTACACAATTATTCTATATTTCAATAATACAAAACTTATGAAAATAAAAGAGTATTTATAGGGATGCATGCCAAACCCTAGAAATATCACAAAAAAATATTCACAATTAATTATTATTGATTAAATGATTAAAATTTATTATAAATGTGCATAATAATAACAACAGCAACAACAATAGCAATGTCAATAGTAATAATAATATAATTAAATTTATTGTATAACAAATGTACAAATGTACCCTTAAAAATTGGGGCAAAGTGGAAGAGAAGAATAAAAAGGTATAATGGGTTGGAGAAAATTTGGTGCAATTTGGTGAGTTATGGTGTAATGAGGATGAGTTGGAAATACTCTCAAGAAGCCCATTCGTCCAACAATCATCACTAGGGGTGCCCCCACTAAATCATGTTTTTAATTCTCTCTTGCCCCCACTAAATCATGTTTTTGGGTCCGCTATGGTCTATCCATAGCGGATCATGTTCCATTGCGGACCCAAAAACATGATTTAGTGGGGCCAAGAGAGAATTATGTAAAAATTATTGGTTAAAAACTTAAAATTATGGACTAAAAATTACGTGGACTACTTTGTAAATATCAAAAATTAAGGGCCCAATTGCATCAACTGGGCCATTAATGTGTCCGCTCCTGATCGTCACAATAAAATCCCATTCACACAGTTATAGGCTTTTTGCTCATGTCTAATTCAAGGCAATGTACCCTTCTCCGCCAGTTATCCCCCACTTCAGTTCATTGATTGCATTAATTCAAATGCCGAAATAAGATTATCAATGATCAAACAACTCGGGACAAACGAACTCTGCCTAAGAGACATGATATCTGATAGAATAACGTTGAACCTATTTGTCATAATCTTAGTAACTATATTATGAATGACTTTACAAAGTCTACCAGCTAAAGTCGCAAAAGGCAGCAAAGCGTGGAATGGATTTCAGCTCGTTACCCAGCTAACTCTAGCCCACATTTTTATGTATCTGGTTCAAACCAAATATCTAATAGGCTCTTTTCTTAATGGCTACCGCTTTCAAGGCATGAATTATCCACTTGTCCTGAAATTACCAGGACCAATATAGAAATCTCAATTCATTGGGTCTTTGATCCAATAAAATAGAAAGCCTAGGAGGTCCCATATTTCAGGAGCCCAAACTATGTGGTGCATTCATTGAAGTAGTCAAAGTGCATCCCCATCTGTCGCATAAAAAGTGAATTCATCAACTGAAGCATAAATAGAGGTATAAAAGAAAGGTTTATACATACATCTTACAAGGAATCAAAAAAGTTCACTTCTTAATGAACGTTGTAACCGTGTAGAGTTTCCCTACGGCGTGCACAGATTTACGTTCAATAACCCCATGACAGCAGTTGTGCTCATGATGGATAGTTATTGCGAGTTCTTTAGTAGTACCAGCATTCCACCGCTAAAGTAAATTCCCATGACTGATTCTTTTGATTAATCCCCAACTATGATGTCACTCATTTTGTCGCGACCGTCCAATATAAGGGGAAAAAAAATTCGACCGAACTAGCACGGTTGACCGCAGGGGCTCCTTAGGTGCTGGCCTATAGCGACCCGTGCTGGCTTCGCTCTGGATAAGAATCTAGTGCATCCCCATTTGTTGCATTAAAAGCCAATTCATCAACTGAAGCACAAATAGAGCTATAAAAGAAAAGTTTTATACATAAAGCTAACAAGGAATCAAAAAAGTTCGCTTCTTAATGCACAGCCATGAGTTTCCCCAGTGGCATGCACAGACTTACGTTAAATAATCCCATGGCAGCACATGTTGAGCTGATGACAGATAGTTATTTGCCAATACAGTTAACAAGGAATCAAAAAAGTTCGCTTCTTAATGCACGGCTTATGTTCAATAATCCCATGACTAAGCTCATAACAGATAGTTATTGTGGCTCTCTAGTCAATAAAACTACTTGTACAAAGTTGAATTACAAAGTGTGTTGACAAAATTCAGACCATTGATTTGAAATGATTTAAAAATCTGTTTTTGAAATGATTGGTATGGATGTTATTTTGTCAACTAACTTTCTAATCCATCTTTGTAAGTGTAACATAACTCCTCTCTACTAGTACCAACATTCCACTTGGAGAACCACTTATAGTATCACTAAAGTAAATTCCCATGACCAAGTTTTATTTTTACTTTTTTGATATAGATTTCGAAAGAACCTATCGAATGATCATAATTTGAAAATAAAAATTTCGATGTAAATAATAAGTTAAAGTACCATCTAATAACATTTTCTTGCTTTAGCTTAAAATACTACATATTAAATTCAGAATTATGTTGATATCTATTATAACTCTATTTTTTCAATCAAGTCTATTCTTGAACATTAATTTGACCTAATTTCAACTAAGCATTTTTTAATAAAATAATATTATACGCAAATTTAAAATTTTTCTTATTTTTTTAACCACACATTATCCATCACAACACTACTACAAAATGCATTTTTTGAGGGGAAAAAAAAGGGAAGGGGCTCAAACAAGCCATAAGTAAAATTTGCCAAGTAACAAAGAAGTTACTTTTTAAAACTCCGCCAGTATAGATCTTAACCATGATTTGAATTACTTGATCTTAATATAAATTAAACTAGGTATGTCATTTGACTGCCAAATCTTGTCCGAATTGAAACCCAACATTGCATAAGCAACATAATAAACATTGCATAAGCAACATAATAAAAAAGAGAAATTTGAGAGTAACGTTCATGGAAGAATCTATTAAGGCCCGACTTCTGCTTTTACTTCTTCTTCTTATAAAAATGTTTTATAAAAAAACTGCTTTAAACCAACTTTCTCTAAAAACTCTTCTAACCAGACTAAACATTCCAAAAAATAAAGCAACTTCTTAGTTTCAAAAGCAACTTTTTGATTTTCAACGGCCTTATCCAATGACCCTAAATGTTAATTTTAATTTTAACTTCAGATGCCATGTAACAGCATCAATAATATAAAGTCATAATCTCCTCTGTACAATTCAAAACCGCCCTCCAGTACCTGCTCATCACTTGGTGTTTATTGCAACACAATTTGAATTTCACTCTGAAGTAAACCTAGAAATTCTGATCCATCAAATAGTCGCAGTTTACAAAATGGGTACAATAGTTACTCGAATAAACATTGGCTGTGAAGATAAACAAGACTTTACAGCACTCCGTTCTGGCTTCAAAATGTTCAACTTTGGCATGGTTAATGAGACTTCTCCAGGCACAAATTGTTCCATATCATTCTAGCCGCCAAGTAACAGAGACAAATGGAAGTCATCTTCTCGAGCATCATCCAGATGAATTTTCATGTAGCAGCACATACTCCCGGCTGCAAAACCACAAGCAGGAACACTCAGGAAAAGATAACCAAAACTGAAAATATGCACGAGTCAATATTCTTATGTGGGCACAGGAGGAAATTCATTGAGTGTCTACATCAATAGCTTGACCAATTTCACCATAAACAAAAGATTCAGATTATCTAAACTACTTGAAAGCAATCATCAAAATAAGAAAAAATGTCATTATAAAAGTCTAGAACAGGTAAACAGAATGACAAAATGTCTGAACAACTCAAGTGATATATATAAGGCTAGAAGGGATATGAACAACTCAATTTTCTTCTGTTCATCAGAACTGCATGAAGTTTTTTTTCCTCTTTGCTCTTCTTTTCCCAGAAACAGTTTCCCATGTAAGTTTCTAGGTATTCAAAGAAACTATAGAAATAAGGGGCTTGGCCTCAAATCACAGGTTTAACCAGTAATCAAATAGAAACGCATGTTAAACATATAAAGTAAGGTTACTATCGAAAAAGTTTTGAAGTTAAAATATGGTGGCTCATTTCAATTTCAAGGTCAGGAAAAAAATAAGTATAACAGATTTAGTGCAGTACACTATACTCTGGGGTTGTAGATGGATTTATATCTAACAGCACGTAGACTGAATCGCTCCAACTAGTTGTGCATTGAAAACCTGGACTTTCCAGAGAAAAACCTGGATTTTTATAATAGGTCTTATATCACTTTGAATCCCTAAGGTGGTCTAGTCCCTACATTCTCATTCTTTTCTTATTGGGTAATTCGCATTCATCTTGAAGAACGTGAAGGGGAAAGTGAATGAAAATTCTACACAAGAAATCTATAGCAAGAGGATGATCAAATAATTGCCGCCAACCATTATGATACTAATAAGCAAAGTACCATTTCACATCTACGAATATGGACATGCCACAATTACCTTTGAAAATATGGCAAACACATGAAGAGGTATAGTTGGTACGTACCTACTATTCCCAAACTTAATTGTATCTTTTTCAAAAAGCTCATAGTATCTCTGTGGTTCTAATCGATCATCCTGCAACATGGGAAAGAAAATATCAAAGAAAATCGTAAAAAAAATTACTAGGACACCACTTTGAATTGAATATACAATATTCTCCGGAAATTGCTTACATTAATGAAGGTCCCATTTGTGCTTCCAAGATCCATCAAATACGGTCTAGAACAATGCACAAGATGTATGAGTTCATTTAAATAATACATTGGCATCATCATCTCGTGAACATCAAACAATCTAAGCAGACAGCCTCAGTCTTACCTTACTTGCTTAGACATGGTACCATCTGGGTTCTCCTTTTCCACTTGCCTACAAAAATATAAACCAAACGAATACTTACATAAATATGCATTAAATATAAAAATATAGAGGAAATGGAATCTTCTAATATGGTCCCCACCGATACTGAAGAACAGCGTGTTGTTTGCTGCAAGATGGGTGATCTGTAGGGATGTCAGCAACCCTCCTCTCTCTCCCGAAAAGATAGCAGCTCAAACGATGCACGTAGAGAGGTTCTACACTTTCAGAAGTCCAAAGATCAGTGATTCACACAACTAAACAAAGATGGTTTGCATGAACACTAAATTCTTTCCTGAAGCCAAAAGGAAGAAGTAGATGAATATAAGCCAGGTAAAAAGTAATGGAAACTAGTTGCAAACAGAAAATAAAAAGGAAGAATGGATATCTACAGAACATAAATACACTTCCAACCACAACTGAAAATTTTACCATGTGCCAAATATTGAGAGAAAAAGAATGAAGTACATTAAAAAAGGGGTAAAAAATCAGTCCATTGCATCACAAACAATCATCTACAAGCTGCAATACACGGCAGTCAACTACTATGACAGGGATCACATGAGGATAGCTGCAACTTTGTATTTGGCATTTTGATGGTTATGATATTCATAGCTAATTGTTATGAGATTTGTATTAGAAGATGGGGTAAGAAAATTGGGAATGATATTCAATGCCAATATACAGAGAAATCTACCAAAGACATAAGGACCAAAAACAATAAGGTCATGATAAGAGTCAATCTTTGATGACCATTTTAAACAAATTAGCAATTGGAATATAACCATATAAAAATGATGAAGGATTGATGATACAGACTCAATTAAAGACATGAGATATGACAAATAATTATTTACCATTCAGCACTTCACCACCCTTGAAAACATACAACCGCCACCTTATTTCTGGTTTTCGGGCGTCTGGAGGCTCATTGAACAGCAGTGTTATACCTAATTAAAAATCAAATTATGTCAGAAAAATTATACAAAGAGAAATTAAACATGAACAAATCCAAGAGTTACACCTGAAGATTTCTTTATAAAGTGCAGGTAGCAAAAGTTTATTGTAATTTTTAAAGGCTGAGGAGTTTAAACTACAGGCTGATGCCAGATACAGAACCTATCAGCTATAAAAGCGAAGTTTATTTCATCCAATTAGCAACTGCATTTCCTATTCTTTTCCTCTATATTATTGTTTACAACATCTACAGATGCACATATAAAAAGATACTGAAAATAAATGTTCATTTTCCTACTTGCTTTTACCACTACATAAAACAAACCAGAGCTGTAAAAGATTGCTCTCTATGTAGCTCATCCGGCTCCCATGATAAGCATCCAGTGACATGTCAAAACAT